TATAGAGAGTAAAGCTGGGTGAAATTTATATATGAAGAACAAGAGTTGCAGTCAATAGAATTTCTTTTTATATAGAAGTGCTGTCCTATAATAAATCGCTTGTGTCTATTACCCTATTTGTATTCGATTGGTAGTAGACAGGCATGTCATTTTTTATGGAAAATGAGTATCGAAAAATATATGGGATCAATTTTTTATGTAGATTATTATTTTTTTACAATTTATTGGCATCAAGATTTTTTATGAAAAAAATTAACAAAAATTTTTAGTCGTGAAAAGGCATTTGAAGCCACAAATTACACACAAAATTGTACGTAATTCTGTTTTCACGATTTTCTAAAGGACAGGCAATATTAAGCTCACTTTTTTGCCTTCAAAATATTTCGGTGTTTTTGTATTAAAATTAAGTTAGCAGAAACTACTGATGACAATTCAAAGATTTATTTCGGAATCTCTTTCCATCGATTTTTTGACCCATACTTGTACTTTTCCACAGAGAGGGTCAAAAAAATATCAATTGAGAGATATTTCGAAATAAACTATTAAATTGTGGACTAGAAATAGCCTTAAAGGCACCATTTATTTTCGTACTTCCTCTTTTTTCTGTAGTATTAGAAATTTTTCTTATAAGATTTTCCTCTTCTCCACGTAATCGTATTTTAATTTTGTAGAAGGATTATGATACTGATTGTGTAATATTCGTCATAATTCAATGAAAAAAAAAACAGAAGAACTATCTTGAAGAATGTAGCTTGAAATTTTTCGAAATCTTTCTACTTCTTTAGTATTTCGCATTTTTCATGTACCTGTTCATATCATTGACTACTTAGGAAACAGTAGAAGTGTGTTTGGCACGGTAACTTGTATTGAAATAAATTTGAAAAAATGAATGACATATATATTTTTGAGAGTGTGGGTGTGTACTTTATTAAAGAGGGTGTCGGTGTGGGTGTGTTTGTGGGTGTGAGTGTGGGTGAGTGTGGATGTGGGTGTGGATGTGGGTGTGAGTGGGTGTGAGTGTGGGTGTGGGTGTGGGTGTGGGTTAGTGTGGGTGTGGGTTGGTGTGGGTGTGCATCTTCTCTTCACTCACACACCCACACCCACCCACCACATCCACACCCACATCCCACACCCACACCCTCACACCCACACTCACACACCCACACCCCACACCCACACATCCACACCCACACCCCAAAAAGCTATCAGAATAATAGTTCTTGTAAAACAAAAACAAGTCAGTTTTATTAAAATTTTCTTGTTATTTGACAAACAAATGATTTTGTCAAATAAAAGGGATCAATAAACTTTGCATAATTATGAAGCAAAAAAGAATGACTTTAAGTAATATCTGGTTTATACGTATATTAGATTGTAAAAATGGTACAAATTCAAAAAAAAATATATGATTAATAGACCATAATAAATAAGTATTTTTTATTTCTTTCAATAACTTCGTCAGTTTTGATGCGATCGAACAAAGCTTTGCTTTTTTTTATTAGAATTGCTGTTTTATGCTAGTCTAAAAGTATCAGTTTTCAAAGACAAAAATCATTTGTTTGAGTTTGAAAACTTCATGACAATATATAAAAAATGTTGAATCATCCATTTTGAAGAGCATAGAATCATGGGTTAAACAATTTTTTTTCAAAACCTTAAAGCACAAGATAATATTTTACTTTTTGTAGTTTTTCAAAAAAAAACTGATTTTAATTCAAGTTTTTGTCCATTGAACGAAAATACTCGTAATTCCGCGAAAAATGATCTGTTTTTCAAAAATTTCTTTTTTATTTCAAAGTCAAGAGTATTTACTATCGCATGAATATGCCTCTGAAATATTAGCATATTGTGTGTAGTCTCATGTCACAGAAGAACATGAATAGTGCCATTTAATGGTACTTTAAGAAACACTAGTTTTATTCTGGTGATTATTAATCAAAGAGCATTTTTTTGCAATGTGTCGGAAAGATCAGAACTCAAAATGCTGAAACATGAGTAGATTGTAATAGAAGACATCGTTTCACCTGTCTAAAACAGTATAGAAAAGTCCAAATAATGTGTCTTGAAAATTTGATACTTTTAGACGTTCTAACTTTCTTGAATCAAACTGACCAAGTTGTTGAAAACATACAAAATTCTGGTTTATTTTGAGTCACTCATTATTCTTGATTATTGAGTCCATCTTTTATGTAAATTGAATGGTAGACTATTCCGGACGTATCTGCAGCTGCTCTCCAGACCGTTGTTGAGATCTTCGTTCGACTTCTTGTTTGATCATCGCTTGTTGAATATGAGTTGGTAAACCTGGATTGAGACTCAATGCGTAAGGTAAAAGCGTTTTGGGCATGTCACTAAAATCAACCATCACTTTAATGAACATTGTGTCATCTCGTACATAAGGATTTCCTTCCTGTTGAATTATTTCCAATGGAAAAAATTTTGGTATCCCACTAGCTATATTCATATCCGATCGAGGTCGTTGAAAACTACTCGATCGAATGTCTGGTCGAAATGAATCAATAATATGTCGTTGTGCAGGTGTCTGATCATACAAACAGAAGGTCACTTTATAGTTGAATGGAAATTTGAGCATCGGATCATTGAAACATCGCATAAGCACAAAAAAGAGTGACATATGTGTACGACGAGCATTTCCATCACCATTTAAATAAAGACGAGCTCTCATTTTATAACCATTTGGAGATGAATAAAATGGAGGCGAATAAATAGATGTTTGTCTTTCAGATTGTGCATCAACTAGAAATTAAGCAAAAAATAATTCTATGAACAAGAACAGAAGGAAGTATAAAGAAATTTAAAGAATCGACATCATTTACAGTTTATTTCGTCAATTATTGATTCGAGAGTAATTATATATTACGTTGGATAATTTGTCGATGTTATAGGAACCGAATAACATCTATTATAGGATTATCACTTTGAAAGAATATTCGGTTTTTTATGATTCATCATAAGAGTAATTGTTCAACTTACTCATTTTCTCTTGAAAATTTGTAATTTTCCATAATAATGTTCCATCATATGAAACGTATTGGAAATCATTGATTTTTTCTTGGATTGATGTTAAATCTTGATTGAGAATGTGTTGATTATATTTCACTCCTTCGAGGAAAGCATTTGATTCTTCATTCGATAATTTAACTTTTGATAATTCTTCTGTTAATGTTGGAATTGTTACTTGAATTTGAAGTGATTCATTACTTAGACGCTGTTGGTCATTATTCAATGTTTCAATACCACCTGACAATATGTTGAGCATTTCATAAATTTCTTGTAATTCAGCTGTGACTAGATTACAAGTTCCTGCTGTTGTTATTTGAGAAAGATCATTATCTACCTGTCTACCACTTAATTGCAATAATATTTGACGAACAAGTTTCATTACAGCATGTTGATGCTTTTCAGTTAAATAATGATCTTTCATTTTGACACGGATAATCTCAAGAAAAAGAATTTTTAGATTTCAATTTCATCTAGAAAATATTCATACTTGTTCATTACAACCAAAATCTTTCAATATACAATCGACAATCAGTTTCTCACATTCAGAGATTTTATGTTCATTGCATTTGTTAACTGAGTTGAATTCTTTGCCACAATATTTGCATTTCAAGTTTGAATGATGTTCATCAAGATGTTTCTTTGAAAGCAAAAAAAATAGAGTATTCATAAATAAATTTAATCTAAAATAAATTACTTGATAATTATTTAAGATACCAGTCCATTCACAAAAAGAACAATCAATATGTATTAATTTCATATCATTTTTAAAACCTCGATCAAGAAGTATCTAAAAAAAAAATCAAATTTATTTTCTCTTTAATTCTGAAGAGATATGTTACTTCGGTTCGTGATGTTTCAGATTGGCATTGTCGACATTTAATTGTTATTCTTGAAAAAGAATAATGAAGAATAAAACTAAAATTTGATTATGAAACTTACTCATGTTGAGCTTCGAAACACGATTGACACTGTCGATGACCACATTTACTTAATTGTACAGGATCTCGTAGTATCAATGTACATATGGGACAAATATACTTTCTATCAAGAATATGTTTATTTTTTGCATCGATTCCTACCATTATTTTAATTTAAGTAATATAAAACGAATGTTCAATGTTAGTTAGAAATAAAATCAATTGCTTTTTATCTCTGTTTTTTTTATCGTTTTCTCTGTAGATGAAAGTTTTGGAAACTGTCAAAACAAATGAAGCTAGCTTGCTTTTTTAAAAAGTGAATAGATACAAATAATGCTTTGAAATGAAAAGATACGAAGATCAATATATCTAGAATTCAAAAAAATTAGTATTAAAGTACAATAAAGATTTCAATTGTTCAAAATGATAACTATTTAGCAGTTCGAAATAGATTAGAGATCTAACCATATTAATATTATCAATACCATCATATATTGGCCAGTATTGGTATTAATTAGGGGTTACCAGTTCATGCAGACACTTAAATGAGCGCTCAATTAAACGTGAGTGTTTCTGATATGTCTCGCATAGAGGAAGCAAGTTACAGTTACTTAACAATTAGCTGGTGAGGTAATTGTTGAGTAACTATAACTTACTTTCCCTATGTGAAACAGCAGAAAAGTTCATGCACCTGAGTGCTCATTTAGGCGTGAACATGAGCTGTAAACCCTTCACCAATGCCAATACCGATACTCACCAATATCGATACCTACACATACGAATACGGAAATACCGTATTGGTATTGTGACATCCCTAGAAATAAATTTTCTCACTACTACTAGATCAATCTTTAGTTCATGGTGGGTATGTTGGTGAAAATTTTGATTACAAAATGAATCATCATTGATAAAAATTATTTGAGCATCGAAACAGTTATTTCAAAGCCTCTTCCTAAATGTCACTTGAGTTCTACATTGATGTATTGGCAGTTTCTTCCAACTTTTTTTTCAAAGAATGATTAGTCTGTTGGTTTATTTCAATGTCGACTCTTTTTTTTCTGAAGCCTAGTTGGAAAAACCCAGAAATATGTTGGAAAAGAAAATATAGACGAGAAATAGAATCAGTAATCAAAATGCATATGCAGCAGAAATAATCTTTATGTACTCCACTAGAATCGTTGACAGAAAGGAAAGAAGAACATGGGAAAATTCTTTCCTTTAATAAGAGTCTCGTTTAGGAAACTCAATTTTTCGGAAAAAGCAAATCGAAGTTAAGTTTTTTTTTAAATAGGAACGTGTGGCAAAATTTCGTCTATCAGAATATATATGACTCTTAAAAAAATGGTCACGTTTTGACAAACTTCGATCCTACTATCGTGCTTTACGAGACATTTTCGCAGTTTTTTAGAAAAGTTATTCAGTTTTGTTAATTTAAGCAAGATAGACGGTACTAGCTTACGCTATATATAACATGCCTGAAAAAATTTCACTTAGATATATAGTATGAATAAGCCATTTGAATATGTTTTCATTCTGGATTTGAATGAAAAAATTCATGGCTAACTTATTATTCGTTGTTCTCAAAACATGGTTTTCAATCAGAATAACTGAAATTCTTCTCACACAGTTCCACAAATTGTCAATATTTTTTTTGTTTTAAAAGTTCTAAATGAGAGTAAACTTTTGTTCGAGCAATTTTTTCATGGTTGATTTTTCTATTTAGAAAAGCGACTTTTAGTGTTGTGAAGTCACTATTTTTTTGCTTATTTTAACATCATATGTACTAAAATGGTTATAAAAAAAAATAAACGAAAATCAATTTCAGCAATTGCGTAGAGGCATTGCCTTTAGTTTGAAAACATCTCAAGCTCTATACTTCTTGTAGTGATGAATTTATAGTGATTTTTTAGAAGGTCATCAATAAGCTGTAACTTAGATCTAGTTTTACAGATTGGGCTGAAACTTTTACTAGAAGTATTTCTCACTAAAACCGTTCATTTCTGAAAGTTTCAGGCCAAATAGACCATTTTAAGTGATAAATCTATTGTAAGTGGAGGATAATGACTCTTAATATAGCAAACTAATTGTTTCAGGAAAGTTCAGAGAGCATTGTCTGTGAAACTGATCGACCGCTTTTTTTTTATTAAAGCTCGTTGCATAAATGCTCTGTATACAAATAACAACGGATCTAGGATATAGTTGCTCGTAGGTGCACTTTCTCAGTAGTGTAGGTGTGGATGTCGTTATCTGTGCAGATGGGAAGAAACCCTACATCCGTACTAACTCAAATCCATACCTGCACCAACGAGCAAATGTCCTTACCGAGAACTGTCAGATTCCTATAACAATATTGATGCAGGTGGACCACAATTAATCACAATGATACATCCAACATGAAGAGTATTACATAACGATAATCTTCGTCGCATGTTTCTTCTCAGAATTAGTGCCATCATACGAAAGTATCATAGACGATTTTTCGTTAATGTGAACCACGTTGGGATGTGACAATTAGTGATCATAAAGGGTGTTTCATAATAACTGACGATAAATTGTTAACAATAGTTTCTATACTTTTTTTGACATAAAGAGCTGAAATGTTTATCGCACATATATCTAATTAAGGCCTGTTATTTCTGAAAGTTTCAGCTCTTTAAGTCAAAAAAAAGTAGAGAAGCTATCATTAACAATTTATCGTCAGTTATTATGAAACACCTTGTATATATTAGTTTCGTAGTTATTTCGATAGTGTCGTTTATCAACATAATTGCGGATTTTAGATATTTTTCACTAGACTCTGGTACTTTGTTGCAGCACCCTTAGTACATGTTTTCGTCGTCATCGCCTATCAATGGAAACGTGCTGTCTATGGCTTTTACAGATTTCCTCAGAGAAGGAACGAATTTTTCCAGAAGTTGAACGATTTTCCACTACAACTCTTATGAGTTAGTCAGTAAAATTGCAATTTGAGTCATTCAGAAGTGTGAAAATATCACTATTCGAAATTTCCACCGAGGATTGAATATAGCAGTGCAATGAAATATTTTTCCATGGAAAACATCGTTCGACAATTTCTTTTTTAAACTTCTATTGATTGATTGAACTTTTCTAAACCCTATCATATAGACGATGACACAACTGTCTGTGTTTTTTTTTGTTGTTTTATGCTCTTTTTATTGTAACATTCGTAAGTTCTTACAGGAATAAAATGATAAATCAAAGATATAATAAGGAGGAAAAGAAAGAAAGACAGAGAGAGGAAAGAATTAATAATGAACAGAGAGATAGCAAAAAGATGAATCACACTGAGTGGACTAGGAGAGTCCCAGACAGTGTGGGAGTTAAAACTAGCCGAGTTATAACTCGAGTTATAACTTTTGAGTTATAACCGATCAACTTTTTGGTCAAAAAGTTAATTCAGTTATAACTATCAACCATGGTTATAACTTTCAACCATAGTTATAACCTTCAACCCGAGTTATAACCTTCAACCCGGGTTATAACCTTCAACCCGAGTTATAACTTTCAACCGTAGTTATAACTATCAACTGTAGTTATAACCGCAGTTATAACTACAGTTATAACTTTCAACCATAGTTATAACTATTAACTGTAGTTATAACTTTTCACTTCATTAACTTTCTTAATCTTTTGAGCAGAATTAATTAAATTGAAATGGTAATTACCTTGATTTATTGACATCTTTGATAGAATAGATAGAAATATATATATTTGCAATGTTCTTTAATTCAGAAAAGCAATGTTTTATAAATTCTTATTCAGTACTTTTAATGTATTCATCTACAAGCTACATTTTCTTCTATCTATACATCGACCCGGAATATACTCGTAAATAAATATATTTTTCGTTATATGATTAATTATAATCTTAAGTTGTGAACAGCTGAGAATACTATTTAAAAAAAGAAACAACTCTATTTTTAATTTTAATTCTTTAACATAGTGGTAATAATCTACAATACATGTTGTGACGAAACTAAGATAATAGTCTCTGTCAAGATAATTACATACGTTTTATTTCAATTCGAAGTCATTGTATCAGCTTATTTTCTGTTCACTTTTACACAATCATTACTACTTATATGAGTATGCATCGTATTCTACTTTTTCCTTCTTTTTCCACGTCTGTATATAATTGAACGAAGAAGAGAAATGGAAGAATAAGAAAATCAATATGACAAGAGCACAAGGAGATAGGTGATTGAAAGAAAAGAAAATACAATCATTATATTCTTTATCTCAAACATAAGGTGAAACGGTTGTAAAATTATTCAGGGAAAAGAAATGAATGATGTTATGTTGACGTTTGCGGAAGCATATCTTATTTATGGACCTCCGTTTGACCAGTAGTTTTAATTAGTTCAAAGTTACGAGCAGTGCTAAGAGTTATGTTGATTAGTGACTATATTGAGACTGACTATATTTAATAGAATTTTTAACTATAACTATGGTTGATAGTCATAACTACGGTTGGAAGTCGTAGCAATCGCAACTTCTTACTAGTTTTACTTTATTGTTCAAGTTTCAAAGACACATTTATATTTCGAAACTACATATGCTTGACCACTATATTTTCAGTGAAAACGGTTGTAATTCCAAGCTTTGTTAGCAGCTGTCAGCATAGAAAAGAATCCTTAATGTTACTTCACAAAGAATAATTGTCTCATTCAGGCTCGATGCATAGATAGAAGAAAATGTAGCTTGTAGATGAATACATTAAAATTACTGAATAAGAATTTATAAAGCATTGCTTTTCTGAATTAAAGAACATTGCAAATATATGTATTTCGTGTCTTCTTGATTGCGGACGAAAATCAAACCAATTAGCATGCCGGCAGTGTGGGTGAGGGCTGAAATTTTGTCCGCAATTAAGAAGTAGCCATGTATTTCTATCTATTCTATCAAAGATGTCAATAAATCAAGGTAATTACCATTTCAATTTAATTAATTCTGCTCAAAAGATTAAGAAAGTTAATGAAGTTGAAAGTTATAACTACAGTTAATAGTTATAACTATGGTTGAAAGTTATAACTGTGGTTATAACTGCGGTTATAACTACAGTTGATAGTTATAACTACGGTTGAAGGTTATAACTCGGGTTGAAGGTTATAACCCGGGTTGAAGGTTATAACCCGGGTTGAAGG